TCTTGGACACTAACTCGCCCGTTCTTCCCTCTTACCTCCCTTGCCGGGGATACGAGCGTTTGTCTCCAACACTAAAGAAACGACTATCAAAATAATGCAAAACAAAGCCACGTTTCCCTTCATCTTGGCGCTTTGCGCTTAAGGATGTAGTGAGTTTATTTCGCCAATTTTTTTCTCTGTAAAAACAGTTTTATTACCTTGTCATTTGATATTAACTCTTCTAGCTCAGGCCATAATTAATTATTTGCTCAGTAGCATCACTGTTTAAAAAACGCTATACATTATTGAGAGATGATTGATGAGTTGGAATACTGCAATCAAGCAGCTGATATTAATGGTTGTTTTCAACTGACTAGCAAATTACTTTTCATGTGGGAGTTTTTCAATTCATGGTCACTAAGTTCCATGGTGAGTAAGTTTAATTAGCACATAATAATTAAGAAAATTTGATATCGGCCCGTTTAAAACGAACTGCGAATTAAGAAATTTTTTTCAAAAATGACAGTCCCTTGATATCAATTTTAATAGAATTTCCTAATTCTCTATGCAAAAAGAAACGAATCAGGCTCATAAAATATGATTACGTTCTAATTCGCTTCGCTCAAACGAACGTAAATTATTTACCGCTTAAATAACCGCAAAAACCAGGCGAAATCAGATATGGGTGGATCGCGTGCGAACCCTAACAAGCGAGAAAAAATCTAAAATCTTTCAAAGTAGTCTTAAATATTTCCCTGCAGCGAGTATAGGATAACTTGCCATTCCTAAGGGTATAACCCGACTTGCTCTTCGTTAAAGGCCTGAATAAAGGCAAGTGACTAGACAGATCCAAATTGGCTGCTTGAATATACCTAAGTAAGATAGCTACTGGGCAGTGTTTGTTCTCTAACTTAGCAATATAAACATAATTGCCCTCTCTATATACATCCGTTTTACTCCTTGGCACAAAAATTTTAACAAAACCATCGCAAAACGTGAGGTGTTTTGGCTGAATATTAGCCAACTCGTTAAAACGAAAAAATCCTGCAAAACCTAAAGAACTTATTACGGCAATACGTAAGTCCTTTAAAGATGCTTCCTCAGCGCCATGTCTGTCAATAACGCCTCTAATGATAGCAGGGTCCACGGGTTTTTTTCTTGTGAACTGGATTGGTCCTTGTCCTCTTGGCGCACTCAATCAAGTTCTTGCAACAAGCGTCATCCAAAGGATTGGGACCATCATCAGGAACAAAGGAATGGAACCATTTCAGCGCAGCATGGAACAAAACCATTGCGGCCGGGACCTAAGCTGTTGATCTAATCCAAATAGATAAAGGGCGACAACAGAAGAAGAAAACGGCAACTGTAGCGCAATTTTCCGAGTCCTGTGACCACAGTAAAAACTTGTTTATATATTAGATATTTCTTCGCAGTAGAGTCCGCCCTAGAACAAAGTAATCTACTAAATAAAGAATGAAAATCCGGCCTAATAGCAGGAGGGAGCACCATCTATGCCTTAATTGCAACTACGACCTGCAAGAAAAAATTATATCACCAAAATTTTGCAATAACAGGATAGCGACTTTATGAAATGTAACACAAGCGATGACAGCGATTCTAATAAACGGCCCCATGCCTATGACGCAATGTCTGCAGAAAGCAGAATAGAAATTAACCACAGCGACCTCCCTGGGGCAAAATAGGCAAGCAAAGTAGCTCCTAAACAAAGCCATAGCGAATAACCTACAAAGAAAACTAATAACAACGCGTAAAAACTGCAGATATATCCTAAACGCGACTTGCTCTAGCAGATGATTTAAATCTCCCAAAAAGGCCCCATAAACGACAGGCAAACGAATATAAAGTAGGCAACACCCTATCTAGGACACAGTCAGCTCGAACACTTAAATAACCTAACAATCAGCAAAAAACAAAGTTACAGCCTTGATAAAGAAAGGTAAATAACCTAAACTAACAAAAATAACGCAGCTCAACCTTGTGAAAAACCTTGGCCAGAATAGCAGGTTGAGTTACGATTCGCTAACCAGTGTCAAAAAAGGACAATTTTCCATACGTGAACAGGTCTCCCATTGTCGAGAGAACTCGAAACCTCGTTCTACTAACAAAAATCCAAAACGACAGAAATCTTCTCTAACGGACGCAGACGTCCCTTCACATTACCAGTGTCATATACTCTGGACACAGCTGTCCATGCTACTAATGACCAGTGTCAAATCCTGCAAATACCAGTACTAAAAGCTAGTTCAGAATGACCTACTCGAAGGGCAATAAAGGTTGGATAATCCTACAAAAATTCAAATCTAAGCGCGGCAACCTCGCCTGTAAAACGAGGCGAACCAAGCAATGAACTTAAATTTCTTCCCAGGGTGAGGGCTTGGGATGCATTCAGCGTAAAGCATCCTTTCATAAACAACCGATATTTACTTGTCAGAAGAGGCCAAAAACTCGACGAAGGCCACAATGGGACTACAAGAGTAGCCATTGCTTTCTGTAGGCTCAGATAATGGATAACGCGAGCGACAAGAGAAACTGGAGGAACCACTAAACAGTTCTCGGAACTTAACTCTTGGGCAAAGAAGTCAATTCCTGATGTACCCGGATTCCAGAAACGCGAAAAGAATCTAGGAAGCTTAGCTGTATAATAATTGGCAAAACAGTCAACTGTATGTGAGCCCCATAACTCCTCCAAACTTAGAAAAAGATCATGCGTGATTTGCCAATCGTCAAAATCTATAAGGCGACTGATATCCACTGCACCTCCAAACGAATAGAGTGCTCCGCGCAAAACTGAAAAATTTAAATAGCAAGCCTGTGCAAATCCAATTTTGTGCTACCGACTTCTATAATTCTAGCCGCCGTCTGGCTATCAGTGAACCACTTGACCAGTGAACCTTCCAAAATTGGCGCAAAAGACCCTAGCGAAAAATCAATGGCTGCAAGTTCTCTCCAAGTAGAGCTCTAAGAACATTCTGGAGGCTCCTNAATGGGACTACAAGAGTAGCCATTGCTTTCTGTAGGCTCAGATAATGGATAACGCGAGCGACAAGAGAAACTGGAGGAACCACTAAACAGTTCTCGGAACTTAACTCTTGGGCAAAGAAGTCAATTCCTGATGTACCCGGATTCCAGAAACGCGAAAAGAATCTAGGAAGCTTAGCTGTATAATAATTGGCAAAACATTCAACTGTATGTGAGCCCCATAACTCCTCCAAACTTAGAAAAAGATCATGCGTGATTTGCCAATCGTCAAAATCTATAAGGCGACTGATATCCACTGCACCTCCAAACGAATAGAGTGCTCCGCGCAAAACTGAAAAATTTAAATAGCAAGCCTGTGCAAATCCAATTTTGTGCTACCGACTTCTATAATTCTAGCCGCCGTCTGGCTATCAGTGAACCACTTGACCAGTGAACCTTCCAAAATTGGCGCAAAAGACCCTAGCGAAAAATCAATGGCTGCAAGTTCTCTCCAAGTAGAGCTCTAAGAACATTCTGGAGGCTCCTAAAGCTTGTGACACACACAATCCTCATTACGGGTAATAACTGAACCGCACCCTGTAGCGCTGGCATCGGAATAGGCGAAACGCTGTGGCTTATTAAAGGGAAAACAATCGCGCACTTTGATGGAATTTAGGTTGTTTCTCCAAAAATATAGCTCCTCAATGCAATAAGAATCCATCTTAACTTTCGCGTCCCAGTGCTGCGCGCTTAATGTAGACATAATGCAGTGCCTAGTCATGATCCTAGAAATGTTCCCTGAAACAGGCGCTGTAGAAATTATCTGCCCTGTAAAAGAGGCCAATCTTCTGGCAGAAAGAACAAAATCGGAGTCCATAATACTGTCAATGGTACAAGTTATTTTGGCAACCCTCCTATCAACAATTTCAATGGTTCCACGAGCGCTGTCCCAAGTGATACCCAACCAATCAAGCTTCTGGCGAGGTATCCACATTGACTTATCCTCGTTAGTAACGAAACCCGCCTTAAAAAGGTCATTTCTAACGGCATCCGCTACAATACTGCACACTTGAGAATCCTTTTCAATACCCCATCGGTCGTCAAGAAAAACAGCAACGCAAATGCCTCGATGCCTCCAATGTTTCTCAAGAGGCTTAAGAATTTTTGTGAACACGTGAGGGGCAGACTATAATCCGAAAGGTAAAACTGTAAACACATAGAACTTCACTTGATTGGAATTGGAATGCTTCCGGGAAAAACCAAGATATGTTTGATGGCCCTCAAAAATTTCAACGTGGTGGTACCCACTTTTCAGGTTGAAGAAAAGCATATATGCACCCCCCGCGAGAAGTAAGACATAGCTGTTTTCCAGTCTTCGTATTTAACATGCATCTTACAAAGAAACTTGTTGACGTATCTTACAAATGAAGAATAAGCCTCTTCTTTCCATTGGCTTGAACAGATACGGACAAGAGGTTGACCACCCGGGGCGGTACATAGCAATTGGTTTCCACAACACGACCCGACTCAACTAAGCCCTGAATAGCCTCCTCAACAAACTCAGCATGTGAAAGAGACGATCTGTTGTTTTTGAAAACCGCTGGTTCCGGAAAACTAACGAAAGGTAACAAAAATCCCCTTTCTATAACGTTAAGAATAAAACTAGGGGCTCTAATATGCTTCCAAAATTCGAAGTTTCTACGAAGATTTCCCTTGACGTTGACACACGGCGGACTAGTACTTAACTCAAACTCAAACAATTCGCTATCGCAATGTACCTGAGCGATATCAGCAACCTCCTCATCAAAAA